CCCCCCCCGGGGGGCCTCTTCCCCTTCCGGCTTCCCATTCCCCCTCCCCACTCCCCTTCCTTAGGAACATATGCAGGCACGCCACACACGCACGCCACACACGCAGGCCGCTCCTTTTTTGACCGCCCCGGGGCGGCGCCCCCGCCTGCGGCAGGTGATCATCGGGTTCATCATCTCCTCCTTTGTCGCGATGGGCCTCGAGCACTCCGTCGCCAACATGTCCACGCCCCCGTAGAGATGCGGCCTCCCTCTCCCACACCTGCAATTCGAGCGTCGACCGCGTCCGCCGTCGCCCCTGCACGCGCAGCCCATGTCTTCCCCCGAGCCGCGGGCCCCACTGCACGAGGCCGGCACACTCCCCCCCCCCCCCCCGTCCTCCTCCTCGCCCTAGGTTCCTCATCCCGCTCGGCATCCTCTCGGGCGCGGACGTGTCGTGGAAGGCGCTTCCCCGCGCGAGAGCCTGCCGCTCGCGGTGTGAACAGCGTACCTTCACGCCGCCGACTGCCCGCAGGCCTTCCTGCTCAAGAACCTCCTCCCCGTCACGCTCGGCAACATCGTCGGCGGCGCTGTCTGCGTCGGGGCCGCCTTCTGCTCCGTCTTTGGGTCCGCCTGAGAGCGCGTGCACAAGGCTTGTGCCTTTCTCCAAGGCTCCATCTCGAGATGGCTACTGGCGGAGCGCTCGCAGCGCCCATGTCCGATACTCGACGCGACTCCGCCTCCTTCCTGCTTTTCGCCCACACCGCATATAGTTCCGCACCCGCCCGCACAGTACGCGTGTTCTCTTCGTCGTGGGTCGCCCCGCGGAGACGAGCGCAGCTGTGCATGTATATGTGGGGGGTGCGCATAGAGGTATAGTATCTTGGTCATGTGCGTCGCGTCGGCAGTACAGAGTTTCTTATAATTCTTTATTGCACGCGTAAACCGCTCTAGCAGCGCGCAGGGCTCGAGCGGGCTTTACTCTTTACACGTAGCGCTGGATTTGGGCAAGGCAGGGGAGGGAATTGCAGGCTGTGTGTGGGCGAGGACCGGCTCGACCGATGCTCTCTTTGTCCGCAGCACGAAGTTCTGCGCGTGATCCTTCGTGCTGCGAGGTGTGCCGAATCAGCATTCCGAGGCGGCCGCAACCGGCGTGCATCATAACGCGCCTCGTCACCCCAGCTCCGGCTGTAGCTGCACCCGGCGCTGGGCATCCTTGGCATACTTTGAGCCGCGGAGGAACGCAACAACGCCTTGAGGCGAGACATGTTGCACGAGGTCGATGAGGATGTCGAGCATCTCCGGCGAGGCCTCGACGCCCGCCGCTCGCGCGAGGGAGTGCAGCTCCGGGTCATTGCGCGTGAGCACCTCGCTTCCACTTCGTCGCATCGTCGTTGCGCGAAAGTGGCAAGGGCGACAAATGTCGGCGGCGGAGCGAGAAAAAGAATTCCAGTTGCGCAGCGGTGACGTCGTGTGAGAGTGTGTGTCGTGTTCAGCGTTCAGGTCTGGTGTCCATTATAGCTCCGAGTAGAGGGGGCGGTCTGCTGCTAGGGGAAACCCGGAGCGCGGAGCCAACCCTCGGAGACCCGTGTTTACTTTAAGGCCCTTTCCCTGCGAACGCGAACCCCCGGGGCTAGGGCTCTCTTGCCCGTAACCCGATCCCGATCATCCGGCCCGCTGGGTGCGCTTCTGAGCTCCCCGGCCCTGGATGTGAGGCTGCCAACTGCACTCCAAGTGCTCCAAGTGTTGCCGCGAATAAAAGAGCGAAAAAGGGAGAACCAGCCCCGGGAAGGTGGGCGGTGGAACCCTGGGACGGGATGCTGAGTGAGGACCTGTGTACGTGCGTGGTGTACAGTGTCGTGTCTACTAGCTCCGAGTAGAGGGGGCGTTCTGAAGTTAAGGGGAAACCCGGTACACGGAACCAACCCTCGGAGACCCGTGTTTACTTTACGGCCCTTTCCCTGCGAATGCGCACCCCCCCTAGCTAGGGGTCAGGGCTCTCTAGCCCGTAGCCCGATGCCGATCATCCGGCTCGCTGGTTGCGCTTCTTAGCTCCCTGGCCCTGGGTTCTTTGGTCTTCTGATAAACGCAGTATATGGAAGATACAAAGAGACGGAGGAGCAACGAGCACCCTGGCGTGAGCCAAAGATACTCCCTCCGTCTGTAGACACTGATCACACACGGGTGGGACAGGGTGGGTCACAACGAAGCACGAGAGCGTGCACGACAAGAGCGACGGCGCAGCGCACTGCCGTCCAGCTAAATAAAAAGCGGCGGCCGACGGTTGCTGCGCAAAGTGATCAGTTCTAAAATAGGTGCCGGGGCCCAACGGATAGATGAATCCGGGGCACCCTCCGCTCGAAACCCTGGCTAGGGGTTCGAGGTGGCCCCCACCCTGGGGCCTCCCATCAAAGGGACTGCGGCAGAAGACGCCCAATCTTGCACTAGTGTCAAGCGCAAGAAAAAAGAAATAGAACAAAGAAAACAGACAACCCAAGGGAGGGATGGGAGGACGTGCACGGCACGCCGCCACCACACAGGGATTTTAAGGAGAGGAGTGTGGTGTTAGCCCTCGCCCACCCTAACCCTTGGTCGTCTGCCTCTTTCTATCTCCCTTCGCAGTCCCTCGCCGATTCTCGCTGCAACCCTCATGCCACCTCGCGGTCGTCCCACTCTCGTCGTTCTCCCTCCTGTCGTTTCCTCCTCTGTCGCGTCGCTCTCGTCTGCCTCGTCCAGTCGAAAGAGCTCCCGCTGGTCAGAGCGTGCTGGTAGGTGGACAGGCGCGCGAGCAGCTGAACATCCAGATCGGCGAGGAGCAGGTCCATGGGGCGCCTGTCCGTCGGAAAGTAGCGCGACAAGCTGCCGGTAGGCCTCGTAGACGGATGCCGGGGGTGCTGGCCGAGGCAGCGCACGGAGCAAGGCATTGAGCGTCGGCGCCATGGCTGCGACAGCGCGAGGGCATCGATGCTCGGCTATTCGGTCGCGCACCCCAGGGGTCCCGCCGACATACTGGGCGCGAGTCTCAACCTCCGCAGAGTAGTTCTGAAAAGAGTTGATCCTCAGGCAGGCCGGGAAGCTCGAGCGGGTAATCCTCAGCATGTCCAGCACGTACCGACCAATCAGAGCGGGGTGGCTGTCGCCCGCTCGCGGAGTGATGTAGCCGGCGGCGCGGAGATGAGAGATGCAGCGCCCACGACGACGGCCCCCCTGGGATCGGTGCGCGCCACAGCAGTGTAGACGGGCCCCAGGCAGCGGGCCAGGTCAGACAGTGTAGACGGGCCCCAGGCAGCGGGCCAGGTCAGACAGGGATGCGAACGGGACATCCGCCGTAGGGTCGCAGAGAGCCCCGACCGTCAAGTACTGCAGGAAGTCGACGGTCTTTGCCTCCGCAGACGGAGCTGGCCCCAAGGGTACGATCGCCTCGGAATGCCCCAAATCGCCCCACTGCAAGAGGAGCTCGGGCACGGGGATTTGACGGGAGAGCAGTGCCTGGGCGCATGCCGTCCGGAATGCGTCCTCGTCCACATGCACTGTGCCAAACACAACGAGGTCGGACAAAGCACCGAGGATGCGGCGCCACGACGCGGCTGAGATGGAGAACTGCAGGATGCTGAGTATCTCAAAGTTCCAAGTTACTGCGGTGTCTGGCTCCCAGATCGGGAGGAGGCCACTGATGGCGGCCCACTAAGGAATCCGGACCCACGACGCTTGCATTCCTGGAGGAGGGGGAACGAGGTTGAGGAGGGTCGGATTGACCACCACCGACCACGGAATGAAGCGCCGGGTAGAGGATACCACTGGTGAGTCGACGGGAACCACCAGTGGTTTTGCGGGATCGGGGATCTGCTCCCCAGGCCGGAATGCTGAGCTCGGCGGCGGCGAGGTCCGGCATCGTGGCGCCGGTCGTCTCGTCGAGGGCTGCCTCTCGACTTTACTCCCGCGTCACAACGAAGCACGAGAGCGTGCACGACAGAGCGACGGCGCAGCGCACTGCCGTCCAGCTAAATAAAAAGCGGCGGCCGACGGTTGCTGCGCAAAGTGATCAGTTCTAAAATAGGTGCCGGGGCCCAACGGATAGATGAATCCGGGGCACCCTCCGCTCGAAACCCTGGCTAGGGGTTCGAGGTGGCCCCCACCCTGGGGCCTCCCATCAAAGGGACTGCGGCAGAAGACGCCCATCTTGCACAAGTGCAGCAAGAACCATACAGAGGGACGGTGTGGTGGGCGACTGCCCTTTTGCTGTGCAAGAACGCACTTGTCCTTTTAGCTTACAAAAAATGAATATTGTTATCTTCTGCCTTGCCTCCGACGCTAGAGACAGTCACCACGGATACATACGTCCGTGGGAGTGACCCCCTCCCCCACCTGCCCTGCTTACACAGGATAGCATGCCCCGAGAACGGCGACATTTGGCGGGGGGAACCAGGGAAGGAGGTTCGGGTTAGTCTTTCTTTTGTCCTCTCGAGGGAATGTTCTCTCGGCGCCCATGGCCTTCTGAGGTTTGGTAGGGCGTCGGTATGTAGGGATCCCTATGTGTTCCCTCGGTAATGTGCTACGGGTATGGGCCGCTGGTCAACACTACCACTCGGCCATCATCTACTCTGCTGTGTGCTGAGGTCGGCGGGTGGCACCTCGATAATCGAGTGGCTCCCGGTTCGAAATCGGCGAGTTGACCCTTAATGTTTTCACACCTGAGCGGGCTCAATTTTGCTCTAGATGCCTCCTACGTATTCGAACTCAAGTACTCGGGCAGGCGCCCGGTGTGTTGGTCGTTTTTCGTCACGGGATGCTTACTGGGAGAAAAGGGAGAGGGTTGTGTTCTCTACTTTCTTAGGAATTCTTTCTGTGTTGTTTGTGTTTTGCCAAGTAGCAAGTTTGAAAAACAGAGGAAAACATATCTCATGACATATCTCATGTCCGATGACGCATGCCCGTAACTAGCAACACAACCACCCACAAAAAACAACATATATTGTGTATGTACCACGCCACTGGTCACCCGGCGGCGTGTCATCTCGCAGGTCTCAATCGCTCATCGGTCCCGTCTACCGCGGATCTCAAGTACAAGATCCATGAAGCGGGAAGCGCCCACTCGAGCACCTCCTCCACTCGTCTCCACCATCGCTCGTGCCGGCTGCCTGGCAGCGGCGGCAGTGGTCGCGAGGAGGGTAGCAAGAGATGCCAACGACTGCGGTTTGGCAGCGTCGCAGCCTCGTGCAACGGCAAAGACTCGCTCCAGCGTCCACTCGACACCAGCTCCTCGGCTGGGGGCGCATCACCGGAGGTCGACCAGTTGGCAGCAAGGCGGCGGCCGCCTGGAGGCGAGGACGGCGGCGAGCCGTCGCCGACCAACACGAATCGCAAGGAGACCGAACTCGGAGAGAACGGGGGCGGCGGCGAGGGTGGCGGCGGCGAGGGCGGCGGCGGTGAGGGCGGCGGTGGTGGCGACAGCGGCGGCGAGGGTGAGCGGCGAGGGTG